AAAGAAAAATTGGGGGAGAAAAAGAGCAAATTGCTGTATTTGAAAAGAGTCAATTGCTTTGCAGTTAAGGAACTTTGTTAACACAACATCTGGGATTTGATCTCGGTTGTGTCAGGGATGTCCCAAATGGCATCTCAAGAGAACTCTGCTGGCTTCTCACAGGGTGTATTTCACACATGTGTTTTACAAAGGTAATTTTGGGCCAGGGTTGGTGGAGGAGGTTTTCCAGCAAGAAACCCCCTGAAGTCAGAACAAAAAGACGCTGAAAATATTAAAAATATACGTGTATATATGCTGCTGTATAGCAAGGTCCTCCAAGGCACAAGATTCTCAGACTCCTGATCATAAGGAAATAAAGCAGGTGCCTGGAGAACCTCATTGCAGGAGCTGCCTGCCTGGAAATCAGAATGACACACACTGAGGGCTCAAAATGCCCATTTCCCCCTCATTTCCAAGCCTGGCATCTCTGTGGCACATAAAAATACCAAGTGCATTTAAATGAATCAAAACCACCATTTATACTGGGTGTGCTTGTGGCATATTGTACCAGACATTTTACCTAAAGACCTCCCAGGCTGGGGAGTTTATTGGGAATAACCTGGAGACATCGAGAAGGGAGATTTCAAAGAGCTTCAGGAATGTCTGTCTGTGCATTATATGAGGAGATTATTCCACATGAATACTAATAATACCTTAGTGGGGTTAGACTGCTCCAACCTCATACAGGGCAAAATAGACAAGACATTCATTATATCGGCTCCTAATTCTAAGCTTCATCATTTGAAACAGCTTGATTTGGGCTGAACAGACAGTTCCTAACACTTAGCCTGGTCTAAAAGCAGACACAAGCTGAATTAACACGACATGAGCTGAGAAACAAGCCCTGAGTTTCTAAAGATTTATCCAGGCACTAGGAGGAAAGAAATAGGTGTTGGCCTGTGATCCCAACAAGGAAAACGAGTCCTGGTGACGTCTCGTGATGGACGTCCCTGCTCAGTCACGCTATTTGCAGAGATAAGTCACAAGAAGTGTCTTAAAAATTAGAAACGCACCAAGATGATGAAGTCGGTGGAGCAGGAAACCGGGAGATGAAAGAGGCCGGCAGGTTCCAATCTGCATCTCCTACCGTGACCTAACGCCACCCCAGATAGTCGAGAGCAGCAAGGAAGAGCAATGAGAGCACCAGGGAGGACTGGGTAGTTTGCTTCGTGTGTCATTAAAGCCTTTCATTCAAAGGGTGTCTCTGCCTCCAGGCAACCCAGCAAAGGTATAAAAACGCTCTCAGTGCAAGGCTTTTTTTAGCTACTGCTCTTGGCTTGTTCTCTCCGGTGCACTGAGTAAGTCTGTTTTGACAACTATTAAAAAAAAAAATCGAATTTAATTTCGCTTTAGACAGAATTTTGCTAAAATTGGGACTAATTCCTGCATAAATACTCTGACTCTTGGATATTAGTGAGTATTTTTCTGATGATTTTTCTAGAGATGTATTTTAACAGATGATGCTGGATAAAGACTGTAAAAATAAAACTCGGGGTTTCTCAAGGTGCCTTTGGGGCTGTTAATTTTATGCGAGAATGAGGAATATGAAGCTCTTGGTTCTGAGGAGCTCTCAGCAGCACCCCAAGAACAGATGCTAACGTTGGGTTTGCTCATGGGGCTCGCACGGGGATTCCGCTGCTGTTACGTGCGGACGCGGGGGGATTTCAACGGTAACCAGAGCCTCTCTGGTGCTTGGGGTTGCTTGTGCACAGCTAGAAACACAGCACTGCTTCTGCTCGTAACCTCGCCAAACCTGATTGCGAGTCTCACTGAGCAAGTCAGGACCAGACGCAGATATTTTAACACAGCTAGAAACATTCGTGTCTGATTAACACTCAACTTTGCTGCTTCTTTAATGTACTCCTGCAGAAGTGAAATTATGCTTTTGTTGTTAAAGCTAAGCTCTAATGTAAGGGTATTGGGGGAAGTTTCTGTGAACGCTTATTTTTCCTGTCATGATGCATTTGAGGATGCTTTTACTTTCCCCTGAAGATATTTGAGACAGGAGAACAGATCAAGTGGCACCTTGCCTGGCTTGTCCCCCCTGTGCCACCAGCACCCGCATGAGGCAGCACAGAGCTCCAGAAGTCACAGAAAACCGCTTTGAAGAGATTTTTTTACATAATTCTTGGCAATTTAATATCTCCTTCCTTAGCAAGTGTTGCTGACTCTATATTTAAAGCCTAGAGCCCGAGTCCTCCTCCCCTTTCCTAGAGTTTCAGGGCAGGAATTTTGCTTTACACCAGCCCACAGGACTTACCTGGAAGTAAAACAAGACCTTTTGCTTATTCCTCACCATAGAGCACTGCAGATTTACAACGTTAAAGTAAGAATTAGCACAACCCTACTGTGACAATGCTAAGGTTTAATAAGAAATAAACACTACTAAATCTGTGTACCCTGTGCTGAAGCTGTAGCATTCTCATTCGGTTCAACAGCATCACTCATCCACAGTCTAAAATAAGAGAAAAGGCAAAGAGCAGGAGGAATTAAGCCAGTTGCTAAACTGTATGAGAAACCGAGAACTTGAACACAACACACAAACCGCACTGATCTGGGTATCCAAAATAATCCGTGTTCAGCTGCTCTGGCACCAGCTTCTTGCACAGCCACAGAGAACCAAGGCAGACCGAGCAGTTTAGGTTTAGATCTATAGGAAATGGGGTTTTCCCCTCTCCCCCGCACCCACAGGTGCTGCCTGGGAAGCTGCATGTGGGAGGAGAGAGGCGCCGTCGGAACAAGCTCCGGCCTGTCCTGCCTTCGGGAACATCCCGGAGGGCTCGGAGGCTTTGGAGCCTGTTTTGGAGGCAGCTCCCAGGATTGTTTTCTCCCAGAGAAGGAGAAATAGAGCGGTGAAAACAAGGCAGAAAGCGTTATTAGAAAAGACAAACAGACACAAGCCAGGCAAGAGGGAGCAGCGCAGGGCTGCTGCCTTGATCCGAATTCCTGCTCTGCCTAAACACCGGCTGCAGCTCAGTGCCTTCTCCTTGTCCTGCAGCTAAATTCCAGGTTCCCCCGATGGCTTCGGAGCAGCTGGCACCAGCCGCCCCCTGCGAGGCCAAGTGTCCCCAGCCGCTGGCCGCCAGCAGCAACGAGCCCTGCGTGGTGGCCTGTCCCGACTCGCGGGTGATCATCTTCCCGCCGCCCGTCGTGGTCACCTTCCCGGGGCCCATCCTCACCACGTGCCCGCAGCAGACCGTGGTGGGGAGCTCGGAGCCGGCGCCGCTGGCCGAGGCCCCGGCCCCGATGGCATCCGTGCAACTCGTACCGCTCCGGGAAGCGCTGGACGTACTGATCCCAGGCGCTGCCACACGGAGTCGATGTGGAGCAGCAGGAGCAGCTCGGGGTGCAGTTTGAGGGAGGAGCAGAGCGGGGCTGAGCGCTGGGTGCCGCCCGGCCCAGCTGAAGGCCATGAGATGAGCCCCAGCCCAGCGCCTTCCTCGCAGGCCCAGCTCTGCAGCCCCTTGGTCCTCCTTTAGAGCTGTTTTCTGCCAGCTTTGCAGCTTAGTCGCCTGCTTGCGCTGTGCTTTGTGCCGTCCCAGTTATAGTATGGACTTTGACACTGATTTTGGCTGCTAGACATAGCCCACAACCGCACCAGAGCAGAGCAATGTGCTTCAGGGGCTGCACCGCCCCGACCCCGGCCGGTGCCCGTGGAAACCTGCAAAGTCTTCATATCCTGTAGAATTTTGTTTCCAAGCTGTAGAAGAGCTGTCTCATTCCAAATAAATTTTCTGTTCCGTAGAGCCTCTGGGTGTTCTTTGCCTTGCACTCATGCCTTTCTCCTTTCACATTCTGGCTAGATTTAAAGCATATTTGCATACGCTCGTAGGCAGTCCATGTTTCTTCATGCCCAAATGTCACAGAATCCCAGGAATCCTCTTTTCCACAGGTGCTCCTGCTCAGCCGTGTTCACAGACCCGTTAGACGGGCGCTGAACGTTGACACCATCCAGGAGCAACCTCAGTCCTGGACATCTGCAGTGGCTCAGCAAGGGCTCCAGGCCAAATGTGCCGTGTCCGTCTTGGGATAGAGGGTCCTCCCACTGCTTTATCCCAAAGATTCCACTCACTGGCGAGGAGCAGGGGACGCTTGGGCAAGTCCCTTGTGCAGATGAGCAGGGTTGAGGCTGCGCTAAACTCCTTCACCATTAGTGGGACATAGAACAAACATCACTTTGGATCCTGTTGTAAGCGTTTCTTCATCCTTTATTCCCTTGGCATTGGATAACCAAACTTATTTCCCCTATCTTCTCTTTCTTGATAAACCTCTAACCTTTTCCGAAAGTATAAATGGGGAAGACATCCTTCCAGAAAACATCCCGCTTGCTTAGGTTTAATTCTGATGTGGAACAATAAAACATACCCTGAGGTCTTACCTTTGGGTGCTTTGTCTTGCAAAGATGGTAACGGTTTTGTGGCAACTTTGCTATACTGAATTTCAGAAATTATTTCTGAGATATTCATAACATCCAGAAACCTTTAGAATATCCCATTGGCCATAAAACACCTAAGAATGACGATTAGTCATAGAAACGTATGTCACCATCAGGAAGAATAAGAAGAGTAAACTCGGATTATGCAATGAGGATACTTTAATGGACAAAAGGCATAAAAACAGAGGAGACAAAACAGTGCAGAAACAACAAAGTGCAAGTCTGACAATTATAAGCTTTGAGACAAATCATAATGCAAGGTTCCACCCCACAAAACCCTTAGAGCAGGAGCATTACAGCAATACAGAGCAGAGCAAACTCCCCAACTTTGAGCACCTTTTGGCCACATGGCAAAGAGGAGAGGATGTGAGACTTGAGTACGAACAAGACCCCATTTCTGGAAAGTCCTGACCCACAAGGCAGTGCCCGGGGGCAAGGAGCTTTCTGCTGCCCTGGGAGTCAGAAGGGACAAGCAGTTATGGGGGAGGACATAAGGAAGAAGCTACAACCTCTAAGGGCCTGTGGCTTAGCAGGGCCCACAGTTGCCGTTGAGGTAGCGGTGGCCAAAGCCCCAGCCCCCAGAACCGCAGCTCCCGTAGGAGCCGTAGCCCCCGTAGCCCCCCAAGGCTCCGTAGCTTCCAAGGCCTCCGTAGCTTCCAAGGCCTCCGTAGCCCAGATAGCCCCTGCGGCCTCCCAGCGCCCCCGCGCTTCCAAAGGTGCCACCAAAGGGACTTCCAACGGCGGGGACGCCCTGGGAGCCAACGATGCTGGACTGCGGGAAGGAGCTGAGGATGGGCCCGGGCAGGGTGACCACGGAGGCCGGGGGCTGGATGACCACGGTGGAGTCGGGGCACTGGCGCACGCAGGGCTCGTTGCAGGAGTCGGCGAGCGGGGCCGGGGTGGCCACCCCGCAGGGAGAGGCGCACACGGCGGAGCAGGACATCCTTGGGCTGGGCACGGCAAGCTGCGGGACAAGGCAGAGCCGCGCTCAGCGCCATGCGGAGCCCCAGGGTCCTGCGCTGCTCTGGACTCGCCCTGGGCACCCCAAGAGGCTGCGGGACGTCCCTGACACCCTGGGGCAGCCGGCGCCACCCTGGGAAATGCCCCACACACCCCTTGGCCCTGCAGCGCTCCGGGGACAGCCCAGCACCGGGAGAGCGGCCATCGCCCTGCACGGAGCAGGGGGACAGCCCAGAGCACCCCGAGAGGTGGCTGCGCCGCTCCACGGACACGGAGCATCCCAGCCCTTTGCCTGCCGCAGCCCTCCGTGCCCGAGCGCCCCGAGCAGCAGCAGGGCCCAGGAGCGGGAGGCAAGCGGAGCGGGAGAGCAGGGCGAGGAGCAGCCAGGGAAGGCAGCGCCGAGGAGGGAGAGGCTGCCAGGTTGGACTTACTGTTCGGAGGAAGGAGTGGAGCGAAGGCAGCTGGATGGAGGGCTGCAAAGCCCAGAGCTCTTTTATACCATGGCAGAGGCCCCGGGCAGCAGCCAAGGGGCGGTTGCGGAAGCCCCTGTTAATGCGGCCGTAAAGCGGCCACGCGCCCCGCGTCACCTAATGATGGGGCAGAGGGACCCAGCGCTGCGGAGCCCCAGGCAGCCCAGTCTTGTGAAGGGAGGCGGCGCTGGCAGCTGGAGCCGTGACACTGAATGACACGAGGGACCAGATGCTGTCACAGCTGACAATAGCAAGAACGGCCGATCTGTCCTTAATCCCACGTTGGGAATGCAGACGGGAGGAATGGGCGTCTTGCAGACGCGCTGGTAAACGCGGAGTCCACCCAGCACGTGCGCTATTAGCCCCGTTTTATGGGCTGGTAAACAGAGGAGGCCGCAGTCAGCGGAAAGGGAGAGGCCGTCGCGACTGCGCGTGGCCCTGGAGTGTCCCCAGGCCGTGCGGCGGCCGTGACCCCCGGGCTGGGGCACGTGGGCATGGCCAAGTGTCCCCGTGTCCCATGCGCGTCCCCACAGGGTACTGCACGCTCGGGACTGCGCGACGGGCGGGCGAAGAGCAGCCATGGACCGGGCAGGGCAGAGCCCGTCCACGCGGAGAGCTGTCCGGACACGTTGGCTGGGGGATCAGGAGCCGATGGCGGTGCCGGTGCCTGCAGGCCAAGTGTTGCCGCGTGCTCCTTTTGTGTCATTGCGCGTCCCCAGCGCGCTGGGCCCCTCTGCCCCATCATTAGGTGATGCGGGGTGCGTGGGCGCGTTACGAGCGCTGGGGATCAACAGGGGCTGCAACAACCGCCCTCTGGTTGGTGCCCGGGGCCTCTGCCACGGCTATAAAAGAGCGGAGGCTGCAGAGCCGTCTATCCAGCTGCCTCCACTCGAGTCTCCTGCCCAGCCCAAGGATGTCCTGCTCCG